GCTTATCCCCAGCTGTTAATGTCCTTCCTCCTAAAACTACCTTGTGCATATTGTGTGTACTTATACATGTATGTGTTGTCTCCCTGCTATTAGAATGTACATTCTTTGCATGTAGAGGCTGGATCATTTTTTCTGTGTCCTCAGTGCTTAGCACAGTGCCTGGCAAACAGTAGGTGCTTAATAAATGCTTTGTAATTGATTACTAGAAGAATAAACTGTTGTGAAGTTGAACTGAATTAAATAGATAGAAGGGTGCAAAGGTTGCTGACCCCCATCTGGTCAATCAGATTAGATAGTGAAGAGATTGTCTGGTTAGCCTATATTTCCTCCCTCCACAAATTTTAGTGTGGTCAAGCCTTTAGACTTGGCAAAGTTCCAATTCATATGTTATTTAAAATATTAATTTATTGTATGATGTAGGTGGCACAATGGATAGAGTACTAGACTCAGAGTCAGGAAGACATGAGTTTAAATCCTGCCTCACAGTTACTAGTCGTGTGTCTCTGGGCAAGTCACTTTAATCTTTCAGCCTTAGTTTCCTCTCACCTGTGGTTCTAAGAAGCTGTAGCATGCACAGTGGCCACATCTACCTTGCCAGATGAGCTAAACCAGGTTGAGGGTGACCAACAGGCTTGAAGCCCTTCAGTGAGTTGGGGGATATCTACCTCAAGCATGTGAAGTTTTCTTTTGGTGGAATGCACAGATGACAACAATTTGTTCCAAGAGCCATGAAGGCAGTTGAAGTAGGCACCGTGGAGCACACAGAGCTTGGTCAGACATCAAAGACAACAAGGTCATCCACTGCATCCCAGGCCACTGCCAGTCATCTTGACTTTTCTCTTGCCACTGTTACTTCAATGACTCCAGAAGATAGAGTAAGGCTGATCATTTTGTGCAACTCTGACTCACTTAAATCCATTTTATGCACCCCATGACATCATCAGTTCTCTGAAAACAAAGAATGAACAACAACATTCATCTGTAAAATGAGGATAATAATAGCACTCACATTACACAGTTCTTGTGATGATTAATTTAAAACATTATCTAAATGCTAGCTATTTTAAATGAGATATGTAAAAGAGATGATATGGTATCCTGGACTGAGCAATGGACTAGTTGTGTAACTGTGGGCAAACAGCAACTCTGTTCAGCCTTATTTTCTCACCTGAAAAAAATGATAATGATAATCCTTACCAGTCTTACAAGGCCATTGTGGGAAAAGTGTTTTGCAAATTGTAGACTATTATACAAACAGAAATGTAAAATCAAACAACACATACCTTAAGTGCTGCAGGTTTCCAGAAAAAATGATTGTTTTCAGATTAAGACACAGGACAGAAGAAATGCTATACTTTGACTTAGATAAATATTTGTATATACCAAATTAGTTTCACCTTTCCTCTACTCAGCGAACTATTGCTTTTCAAATAAACAGTTATTGTTGATGTTGAAGTGTTAAGGTATTTTTGAAGGTTCATAAACAAGCTTTGGGAGGAAGAATTTGAGCTTATCTTCAGTGATATCTGACATCAAAGGGATGGCAGTAATGAGTATGTGAGAGGATTAGGAGAGGAGTACCTAGTTTACACCTAGAGAAAATTGGGATGTGAATTCAGTATGTAGTGATATAAAAAACACCATAAAACAATAATTATCTTGGAAATATTTATTAGAAAATTCTTAAATTCTTAGGAGTAATGATGATGTGTATATGTGACATAAGATCATAATGAATAAAAACATCATTTCATACTTCCAACCTAACCTGCAATAAGGCAAATGTTACTATGGAATCTAAATATAGGAATGGAAGTCAATTTATACTTTTTAAAAAATCAGTTATTTGCCTAGCAAGGTATGCAGAATCTTTCCTTCCAGATAGGATAGAAAGATCTGATGTAGCCTCCAGCCAACCCATGATCCCTCTGGTTGGTAGTTACTTCCTTGTGTGCTTTGTGAAGGTCTTTATAGGGTCATAGATTCAGAACTGGAAAGGAATTCAACCACAATGGCCTTGTAAGACTGGTAAGGATTATTATTATCATTTTTTTCAGGTGAGAAAATAAGGCTGAACAGAGTTGCTATTTGCCCACAGTTACACAACTAGTCCATTGCTCAGTCCAGGATACCATATCATCTCTTTTACATCTCATTTAAAATAGCTAGCATTTAGATAATGTTTTAAATCTCTTTATTTTTGAGAACAGAATGCTGAAACCAAGAACAGTTGTAACACAGAATAACAGAGGTAGGATTTGAACCCCAGGTCTTTTGATTTCAAATCGAACTTCTTTCCATTTCATTAGACTCCCCGAGACTGAACTTAAATGTCAGGGAAGACCTAACTCTATTGCTGATTAGAACCATAAGATCATAGATCTAGACCTGGAAGAGACCGAAGAGACCATGTAGTCCAAACTCCTTCATTTTACATGTAGCTCATGCTATCTATCCCAACTCACACTTACACGGAGCAGTCAGATCCTGGGAGAGTGGTTACTATGATCCCTGCAGGGATTTACAGGTAACCTGAAGGTGTTGGGGGAGGGGATGTTTGTTTAGTATTCTCAGCTCAAGCCCCCATTCTACTTCCCAGCATGATTATCAGTTGATATCATTCAGTCAATAATCATCAAGTAGCTTTAGAAAGGGTTATTTACTTAGTGCTGTTAACAATAGTTAGTAGAAAGTCATTCAGTGACACACTCTCCCACCAGTACATACAGAGTCCAGGGGAAAGAAAGTACATGTGGCAAAGGGGTACCTCATAACTCCCGGTTACTTGAAAAACTTTTCTTCCCTTTTGGGGTACGTAAGTTCTCCTTAGGCTTTGCCTTACTTCTTTGCCGAGCTCCTGATGGAACAGTGAAAATGCCCTCCCTAAATTACATCTTGTTATTAATGTCCCAGGAGATAGTATTAGGATACGGATGAGAAGTCCAAAATATTATGGACCCTGGGAAGCTCGCAAGGTCCTCCCTTGGCCAAAATGGGGATCTAGGTAGAGGCCAAAGCTGAGGCTTCTCCTTCCTTCCTCTCCCCAAGGGTCGCTTGTCAGGGATTTTATTGGAATGTCACCCTTGCTCTAATGTTCTCATCTGAACTGGGTTGATAACTTTATAGATAACCCCTAGAGTGTTATCAAGTTACTTTAGGCAATCTAAACAGGATTTCTGGGCACTGTCTTCACAGTTCCAAAGAGATTACATTTAGTCTAAAGCCAATTATTGAGATTAAATGATTGAGAATTGCTTCATCTCCTTAAGATATCAGGACATCATAACACAGTTTGAGTGGGGTTGAGTGACAATCAACCACCCATGCCCCTCCACCTTTAAGTACAGATGGGGAAACTGAGGTCCAGAAAGGTGACCTGATTTGTCCAAAGTTGGAGGTCTGGAATGATGGAAATGGGATCCCTGCATGCTCAGTTCTCCTCATTGCGAAAAAGGAAAGGTTAAGAATAAAAGAATTTATCTACTTCCCTGGGGGATTTGGGAGAATAAAATGGCATCTGAGTAGTCCTTAATGTGAATGTTTTGAAAAGCGAAAAGTATTACACCAATGTCAAGCATGGTTATATTAAAAATTAATTATAGTTATTATATAATCATTATAAGTAATAAATAGTAACCACTTAGGCAGTGTAAGTTAATAATAATAATACAGATGCCCTCACACCTGCCATCAACTTACTTCATTAAACATTTATTAAGCACCTACTATGTATCAGGCACTGTACTAAGTGCTAGGGATATAAAAAAAAGCAAAAGACTTAACAATAGAATAGGGAAGACAATATGCAAACAAATATATACAAAACAAACTATACACAGGATAAACAGGAAATAATTAATAGGGAAGGCACTGGAATTAAGAGGAGTTAAGGAAGGCTTCCTGTAGGAGGTGAGATTTTAGCTGGGACTTAAAGGAAGCCAAGAGAGTCAGCAGTTGGAGTGCAGGAGAGAGAGCATTCCAGCCGTAGGGGACCCCTACAGAGGAAAAAAAAATTTTTTTGACATTTTCCCAGGGCTGGGCTGTGCATAGGGGGCGGGACGCTGCCGGGTTGGGCTTCTCCCCGGCCTTTGGGGCGCCCACCAGCAGAGGGCGCTGTTCCCGTCTTCCTCTCTCGGGAAAGGCACAAGCCTCTGCTGGGGGTTTCTCTCTTTCTCTCTTCTATCTCTTTCTCCCTCTCTCTCCCCCCAACCCCTCCCTCGCGCTCGCTCGCCTTCGGCCTCACATCCGGGTCTGGCGCTGCCGCCGCCGCTGCGGCCGCTGTCAGTGTTAGCGCGGGCACGTCCGCGGTGGGGCTGGAGCGCAGTAAATGGCGGCGAAGGGAGGCGGAGCAGCAGCCGAGCTCAGCCAGGCGCCCCCTGAAACTTTAGCTTAAAAGCCCCACAACTTTCTCCGGGGCGCAGCCGCTCTTCGCTGGGGTTGACCCCGAAAGGGTGGGCGGAAGAGGAAGCTAGGCGGGAAGTCGAGTGGGGAGCTGGGGGGAGGGGGGTAGAGGGGGCGGCTCGAACCCGCGGCGAAGGCGGAGGCTCGGAGAGGTCGCCTTCGCCTCGCGGCGCCGCTGTAGGTGCCGGAGCCCGAGCCGGAGCCTGGGCCTTGCGCCTTCGAGCCGGCCCCGGATCGGGACGAGAAGGAGCGTCTTCCTCGGAAGGTGGGAGCGCCGGCGGCGGCACGCGGAGCCTCCTCTTCTTCTCCAGCCCTGTTGCTTGTGTCCCGGCCGGCGGCGGCGGCGGCGGCGGCGGCGGCAGCGGCAGCGGGGAGAGGGAAGGACAAGCCCAGGGCTCCGGCCAGACCGGACCCGGTGTGCGTGCGTGCGCGCGTGCCTGCGAGTCGGGCTAGGGCGGCGGTGGAGGGGGGCTGCCTGGCGGCCGGCCCACGCTCCGTCTCCCTGCGACTGAGTTCGAGGGGTTCCGGAGAGAAGCCGGGCCCGAGGCCCCGCCGCCCCGGGGTCGCGGGGCGGGGCGGCGGCGAGGAGCGAGGGAGGGGGTGGGGTGGGGAAGAAGATGGAGGGATTAACGCTGAGTGATGCGGAGCAGAAATACTACTCCGATCTCTTCTCCTACTGCGACATCGAGAGCACCAAGAAGGTAGCGTCCAACGGGAGGGTGGTGGAGCTGTTCCGGGCCGCGCAGCTCCCCAACGAGGTGGTCTTACAGGTAAGTGCGCCCTCTCCCCTCCCCTCCCCCAAAGAGTCCTCCCGGGGTCGGATCCGCCGGGCCAGGGTGGGTGGCCGGGGAGGCCCCTGCAATCCAGCAGCGCCGGCTCTCCTACCTGCCTGAGGTGGGCAAGAGAAAAACGACACCGTATCCATGGAAGGAACCCATGCTGGGGTTCAGCAGATTGAAATTTTCTAACTCCCAGCCGGGGAAGGGGGACAGCAGGTGCCTGTGGGTGGTGTCATACTTTTAAGTGGGCAGAAGAAAGAGGTAAAGGTTAGTTTCATAGGAATAGTTTAGGAGCAGCAGAATAGTCTTATTAAACTTTTAAGTTTTCAAGTAATAGTACTCACTCTGTATTATCTGTGTACATGTTTTGCCCCCATTAAGCTTCTCCAAGGCTGGGACTTCTTAATTTTTGTATCACCAGCGTCAAGCCCAGTGAGTGCCTGGTACCTACTATGTGCTCAAATATTTGAGTCAAATTGAATTATAACTTGTTATCTACCATATGTGTTCTGCCAGTGAAAAAAATTCAGTAGAAGAATTACATAGTTATAATTTTGGGTGCAAGATGTCGGGTAGCTGGGAGAACAGAATTAAAGTTATCAGAACAGGTAGAAACTTAAGATTTTCCTCTTGCCCCGCCCCCCATCCCTTCCTTTTCCTATTAAAAGGTCCTTGAAGAGTTGAAAGAAAAGTAGATCAGTTTATATTTTGTATACATATGTGAAATGAAAAACAGTTCATTATTTATGGAATTTTGCTCCTGAATTAACCCTATAAAGTAGGGTAACATTTGAACTCCTCAGATTCAAAAATATATTTCTTCCTCTCTAGATTGTGGATGTTTGGCTCATCTTGAAGCCACTGGTTAAAAATAAGCATTGATTTTAAAAGCTGGTCTTTTTCTCTCCTAGCCTTTAAGAAAAATAAACATTCTGTTTGTAATGTGCTTTAGTGTTTACAATATCTATTTAATAAGATGCTTGACTAACTACTAGAAAGATCTTGCCTGAACAGGATATTTTAATAGGTTTAATAGGTTAATAGGTTTTAAAATATTGCTCTAAACCAGTTATTTGAATCACCAAGATTTAGATTAATACATATACACATATTGTATAGTAACGGGGCAGGAGTACCGGCTTAGGAACTTGAAACTATGGCTTTCAGTTCCATCACTTCAGTTAATCTCTTTGAGTTTTGATTTCTTGAGTTGTAAAATGGGAATTTAACTAGTTTAGGCATTCCCATCTTCAAAATTCTTTTAATCTATGAAAACATAGGAAATCCTAGAATCTCTGTTAGTCCAACAACTCCTTAGCTATCTTATGTAATCTATATTTGTCTGGAATGAGTTCTATCTATTTATCTTGTATATGTTAAATTGCTTCATTTAACCTTGAAGCAAAAAGTTTAGTGTCCTGTATATCAGATTTGGATGACAGCCAGGAATTAGAAGCTCATATCTTAATAGATAAAGTTGCCATACTGTTTTGTTAAAAGTATAATACAGAACCATTTTCTGAATATGGATTTTTGGAATTAGACTTAATAGAGATCGTGTCTGAGCATGTTCATTAAAGGTATGGTTCTTTTTGTGGAAATTAGCATGTTGTTTTAATGCATTCCTGGTATTATTTGGGAGCTAGAGTAGGAATTCTTAACTTAAAAAAATTTTTTTTTAAATCATGGGTTCCTTTGGCAGTTTGGTGAGGCCTTTGAACCCCTTCTTACAAGAGTGATTTTAAATTCATAAAATAAAGTTAATAGAATTATAAAGGAATCCAATTATAGCAAAGTACAGTTAAAAAGTACATAGAATTACAAAAGAATCCAATTATATTGAAATAGTTGCCCAAATCTTGAAAAAAAAAGTTACTTGTCTTAAGAATATTCCTGTTTTAGGGTTTATTGGGAAAAGGAAAAGCTGATGATAAATTTCTAGTCTGAGGGGACTTGGAGACAACCTGGGTTCTCAGATTTAGGCTATGTTGATAGGTACAATGAATTAATTACTCTTTTCTCTTAAAATTTGTTAGATCTCCCCATATTATTTTAAAATTTAACTGTTATGAAATGTGTCTAATTCACTTGCCTTGCTATGTGCTGCTAGGCTGTGGAAATACAAAGAAAAATTGAAATGTCATCGAGTTCAGATTTGAAGGGCACTAGGGATTCCAGAGTCAGAGGTGAGGAGTGGAAATGTTTGCAGCATGGGAAGATGCAGCCTGTGCAAAAGCTTGGAGGTGGGAGATGGAATGCTAAATTAGGGAACAGTTCTAGTTTGGCCAGAACATAGAGTGTATGGAGAGTAATGTGAAATCGATCCTGAAGGCTTTTTTAGAGCCAGATTGTGAAGGACCTTGAATGCCAAACAGAGGAGCTTGTATTTTATCCTAGAAACAGTAGAGAACAACTTAGGCTTCTTGTGGGGGAGCTAAGTGGTACAGTGGATAGGATAGATAGAATGGAGTCAGGAAAATCATCTTTTTGAGTTCAAATCTGGACTCTTATTAGCTTTGTGACTCTATGACTATTAGACACTTATTAGCTTTATGACTCTGGGCAAGTCACTTAACCCTGGGCAAGTCACTTTACCCTGTTTGCCTCAGTTTCCTCATGTATAAAATGAGCTGGAGAAGGAATGACAAACCACTCCAGTGTCTTTGCCAAGAAAACCCCAAATGGGGTCAGGAAGTCAGACACAACTGAACAACAACAATTCTTGAGCAAATGTGTGATGTGGTCAGATCTGTGCTTTAGGAATATCAATTTGTCATCTTTGTGAAGGCCTATGGACTGGAGGAAGGAGAGACTGCCATACAGGAGACCAGTTAGGCTATTGCAGTTGTCCAGGAGAAAGGTGGTAAGGACTAGAACTAGGGTGGTGACTGGCTGTATGAATGTAGAGACAGTATGGAGAGATATTTTGCACAAGTTGAATTGACAATACTTGATAACTGATTGGAAAAGAGTGGTGGAAAGAATAGTAATGACCCTCAGCAGAAATAGAAATTTAGGAGGAAGAATAGATGGGGGATGGGGGAGGCCATGAGAGTGGAGATGAATTCAGTTTTAGAAATGTTGAATTTGAGATGCCTATGAGACATCCTAATGGAAGTGTCCAGCAGGTGTTGCAAAGCATATAGTAGTTATTTTTTTAAATAGTCATTGAACTGATGATGGCAGCTGCTGAGATTACCAAACTAGAGAGTGTAGAGAAAGAAGAGAAATCAGGATAGAGATCTGGGGTGTGCCCATACATAGGAGATGTGGCCAGATGACTTCAGCCAAGGAGACAGAAGAGTGAGGAAGAAAATAAGGAGAGAGCAATGGCACCAAAATCTGGGGAAGAGAAATTATCCACAAGAACATTGTGGTAGAAAGTGTCAGATGCTGGTGGGAACTGTTTGTCTTTGTATCCCTAGTGTCTTGGACTTAATAGGCACTTAATAAATGTTTGCTGAGTTGAACTATGGCAGTGTTTAGAAATAGTCGACCTATTTTTATTGCCTTGAGTGAAGTGTAAATATAAATAAATAACAAAAGCAGTCAGGATTGGCAACAAATTGGCAACAGTGTGGAAACTCCCTGAAGCAGTACTTCTATGATACTAAAAGCTAAATAGCCCCTGAATGACTTGGAGGGAGCTTAATAAAAAATGGTGCTAATTCATAGCACATGAGGGAGCATGAGATACACACACATACACACACACATATATAATTAAATTTTTTCAATTAATTTATTTTTAGTTTTATATTTTAGTTTTAGTTTTATTTATAGTTTAGTTTTCAATTAATTTATTTCAGCATTCACTTACATAGGCTTTTTTTTCCCCGTGAGGCGATTGGGGTTAAGTGACTTGCCCAGGGTCACACAGCTAGTTCAGTGTCAGAGGCTGTATTTGAACTCAGGTCCTCCTGACTCCAAGGGCAGAGCTCTATTGACTATACCACCTAGCTGCCCCTTACATAGGCTTTTGAGTTTTAAATTTTCTCTTTCCCTCTCCTCCCTCCTCCCCAAGATGGTGGGCAATCTGATATAGGCTCCACATATACATTCCTATTAAACATATTTTCACATTGGTCATTTTGTAAAGAAGAATTGGAATCAATAGGAGGAACCACAAGAACAAAAAAACAAAACAGAAGGAAAAAAAAGCAAATAGTCTGCTTCGATCTGCATTCAAACACCATCGTTCATTCTCTGAATGTGAATAGCATTTTCCATCATGAGACTTTTGGAGATCCTTGCATTGCTGAGGAGAGCTAAATCTAATAAAATTAGTCATCTTACAGCGTGGCTGTTACTGTGTACAACGTTCTCCTGGTTCTGCTCATTTTACTCAGTATCAGTCCATACATGTCTTTCCAGGTTTTTCTGAGGCATGATATATAGTTTAAATGAATTTTGTTCATTGGAAGAAAGACGGGGGGAATTTCAACTTTGGAGAAATACCATGGTTCTTAGTCAAAAGCACATTGGAAAAGCTACTATCTACCTAACCCCTGCTTTCTGGCTTTTCATGTCTTCTGCCAAATAATTTCAGTTAGTGATATATTAATGTCCAACTTATGGTTCGTTGGCAATTATTATTGAATGCTGTGGAGGGGTATAAGTATACCTCTATAGTATAGTGGAGGAGAGAGAATGCTGGGCTAAGATCTGGGTCTAACTCTGTTGTTAAATAGATGTGTGATCTTTGGTACATCACTTAACCACTCAACCTCTCTGTGCTTCAGTTTTCTCTGTGCAAGTTGGAGAGACAAGACTAGCACATTGAAACTAATACAAGCAGCAAGTATATGCTAAAAGTGCTGTAGGAGTTCACAGAAAGAAAGGATCAATATAGACTGGTATAGTTCAAGAAGACATTCAAGAAATACTACTTGAGCTGGGCTGTGATGGGGTTAGGCAGAGAGGAGGAAATAGAGAGGAGAATGAGTAAAAACAGGAATGAATGGGTTGGTCTAATTAGAGCAGAAGATAAC